AGAAGAATGCTTACTTGAATTGGTAAAATTGAGTGAGAGGCGTGGCTTTATTCTTGAAATGTTCTTAATGTCTGACTTGATAGATGATAGTAGGGTCCTTTTATATGCTTCTGTTTTCAATTTGAATATGTGGCAGTATCACATATGTAGCTGCTGGAAAACTCCACTGTACACTCTTGACAGAGTGAGAATGAAAAGGAAAATAAAATCTTGGTATTATTAATAAGAAGCTTTTAACTTCTTGACCCATTTGAAAGGATCTCAGGGACCCCTGAGGCTTCTCAGATCAAACTTGACCAGCTTTGAGCAGTATCACATATACATATATTTTAAAATCTACTTCCCAATTATGTGTTGAATTACATGTTCCATCTACCATCAAAAATTATTTCTAATGATAAATCACCTGATAATTCCACTAGCCCCTTTAGAAACTACTTGAATTGCAAAGTACATTTGTATTCTCAACTTAAACACTAATATATCAAATTTTCCATTTTTTTTTTTGCCGTGGAAGTTTTTTCTAATAGAGCAACTTTCCACAGTAAGATGAATGATGGAAAAGACATAGGTCTTTTCTCTTGTAATGAGGGAAAAAAGTGACTGAGAAAGAGGAGACAGGGAAAGAGAACATGTTGTAGGGCAGATCTTTTTGTTGTTGTTAGGTGCTGTTGAGTCAGGTCTGACTCAAATTAACCAATGAACAACAGAACTAAATACTACCATGTCCTGTTGCCATCCTCAGAATCATTGCTATGTTTGAGTCTTTAATTGTAGCCACTGTTTCAATCCATCTCTTTGAGAGTCTTCCACTTTTTTACTGATCTTCTACTTTAAAGCATGATGTCTTTCTGCAGATGTCCTTCTCCTGATAATATGTCCAGAGTGCATTAGATGAAGTTTTGCCATCCTTGCTTCTAAGCAGCATTCTGGCTGTATTTCTTCTAAGACAGATTTGTTTGTTCTTCTGGCAATCCATAGTATTTTCAATATTCTTTGTCTACATCATAATTCAAAGGCATCAATTCTTCTTCAGTCTTCCTTATTCATTGTCCAGCTTTGGCATGCATATGAGGTGATTGAAAGACACCATGGCTAGGGTCAAGTGCACCTTAATCCTCAAGGTGACAACTTTGCTTTTTAACATTTTAAAGAGGTTTTTTTTTTTTTTTTTTTTTGCAGCAGATTCACCCAATGCAATACATCATTTGATTTCTTGATGGCTTCTTCCATGGGTGTTGATTGTCGATCCGAGTAAAATTAAATTCTTGACAACTTCAATCTTTTCTGTTTATTATGATGTTGCTTATTGGTCCAGTTGCCAATATTTTTGTTTTATTTATGTTCAGTTGTAATCTATACTAAAGCTTTTGATCTTCATCAATAAGTGCTTCAAGTCCACTTTGCTTTCAGTAAAGGTTTTTCCTCCCACTTTATGTAGGATCTCCAGTTTTGATACCTTCCCGAGTGGTTGGCATTGGTAGCTGGGCACCATCTAGTTCTAGTCTTGAGGTCCTAGGGCTGATTGTTTCCAAATGCCCTTTATTTTCTTCACTCTCCATTTCAGATGAGAGGAAACCATTAGCTGCATCTTAGATGGCTGCGCGAAAGCTTTTAAGATCCCAGTCGCTACTCACCGAAGTAGGTTGTGGAACAAGATTTTTATGTATTATGTTGTCCAATTGAGCCTGGTGTCCCCCAAAACTGTGATCCTGAGTCAGCAGGCTGGGTGGTTCTTTCTTCCAAGGTGTTTGGCTGACTCCGAGAGATTACTCCAACTCTGCTTCTGTTGCTTATGTAATGATTGTGGTTATTTTGTATCACTAGTATCCATGCAAGATTATCCTCAGCTAAATCTATCATTGATTTAGGGCATATTCCTGTTCACTGAGTCCCATCTGATATTCTCAGTTGTCTATGCATCTATTTGTAGCCTGCTGTTTGGTGTTAGTGGTAATGCAGTATTGTGCATCTCTTTGCTATAGTGAATTGTGCTGTGAAGAACATGGGTGTGCATATGTCTGTTTGCATCCTGTCTTTCACTTCTTTAGGATATATTCCTAGTAATGGAATTTCTGGGTCAAACGGTATTTCTGTTTTCAGTTTTTTAAGGAAACATGGCTGTATCCTCTTACCATACTTATTCAATCTGTATACTAAGCAAATAATCTTAGAGGCTGGACTATTTGAAGAATCTAGCATCAGGATTGGAGGAAGACATATTAACAACCTTTGATATGCAGATAATACAGCTTTCCTTGCTGAAACTGAAGAAGATTTAAAGCAGTTACTGAGAATATCAAAGACAACAGACTTCAGTATGAATCACACTTCAACATAAAGAAAACAGAACTCTTCAAAATGGACCAATAAGCAATATCACAGTAAATGAAGAAAAGATTAAAATTGTCAAAGATTTCATTTTACTTGGATCCACAATCAATGCCCATGGAAAAATAGCAGTCAAGAAATCACAGGACATATTGCACTGGGCAAATCTACTGGAAAAAGACCTCTTCAGTGTCTTTAAGAGAGAAGATATCACTTTGAAGAGTAAGGTGCGCCTAACCCAAGCTATTTGCCTCAATATGCATGTGAAAGCTGGACAATGAATAAGGAAGACTGCAGAAGAATTGATGCATTTGAATTGTGATGTTGGGAAGAATATTGAATATTCCATGGACTGCCAGAGAAAGGAACAAAGCTGTCTTTGAGGGAGTACAGCTAGAATGCTCCTTAGAAGCAAGAATGGCCAGACTTTGTCTCTTGTACTTTGATCATGTAATTAGGAGGGAGCAGTCCTTGGAGTAGGACATTATGGTTGATAAAATAGAGGGTCAGTGAAGAAGTGAAAGACCCTCCATGAGATGGATTGACATAGTGGCTGCATCAAGGGACTCCAGCAGGTCAACAATTGTGAGGACGGTGCAGGATCAGGGAGTGTTTAGTTGTAAATAGGGTTACTATGAGTTGAAATTGACTCAGTGGCACCCAAGAACAAAATGGCTTCTTCCAGAAGTGAATCTTCAACTACCTGAGAACTTGACATTCAATATATTTTATGGGTGCATATTTGAGTTTTCTTCCGTACTGATGGGGCTGAATTGAATATAGTGAGAAATGTTATTAACTTTGTGCATATCCTCTTTTTGGACTCTACCATCATTTACATGGGAGCTCTAGTGGTATAGTGCCTAAGGCCCTTGATTGCCCACCAGAAGACTGGTGGTTCAAACCCGGTAGCCACTCCTCAGAAGGAAGACTGGGCAATCTACTTCCATAGTGATACCACCTCGGAAACCCAAGGAGGGCTCTCTTTGAGTTGGATCTGCTTGATAGCAGTGAGTGAGTTTCTTATCATTTGCATTAATTCCTCTTGACCCCTCCTACTCTGAATAAATTGCGGTAGTCTGGGTTATAAATTTAAATCAGTGTGTGGAGAAGGACTATAACTTTGGTTTGTTTTTGTGATTACTTTTATCAGTGTCATTGTCAACTCTCAAACACACCAAATTTAAACATCATTACATATGCTGTAATCACTGGCTCTGAATATAAGCAACTTGAGGACAGGTCATGATTTACAATTCTTTGTTGTTACTGTATGTTTTAGATGATCAAAAATACTTTGCTTGTTGATAATTAAATCTGTGGCTCTTCTGGAAGAGAGGGGATCATAGGTGCTTGTGAGAAAATCAGCACTTGCACTCATGCGGCTGGGTGTTCCTTCTCTACCCATAATGTTCCCTACTTCCAAAGAAAATATATGTAGACTGTCATTCAAGTGTTTAGAAGTAGTGTAGTTTCTGAAAGGCTCCAATTTTATCTCATCCCCAAAGAAGAAAAAGAGTGAGTTTTCAAAATGCTTTTTAATATACATATCTTTCAGATGAGGGGTGGTATAATATTACATTTCAAAGACAAAGTTTTCCATTTAGTTATTTTTTCCCCAAAGTCTGTGTTCTCTAGATAGAATATATTTTCTAAAATTTTAAAAAAATGTTCCGGTAAAATAAGTATTAATTCCTTCTATTATTCTTCAGTGTGTCTCAATCTATTCTGTAGCATGATCAAAGGAAAAGATTCACATGTATCACTAAATCTTAGTGGTGGTTTAGTTGAAAACATTATAAACAGCTCACTGAACTCCTAGAAGAAAATAAAATGCCTTTTAAATGCAGATAAAAGCATATTTAATTTTTACATTTTGACTTGAGATCAGTTCCCACCTGTACCCAGGAACAGGAATATCAATATCAAGTCATTCTTTTTTCTCCAAAGACACTTGTTTCTAGACTGCCAAAATGATTATCTTTGCTTGTTTGCTTGTGTTAGAGCTTATTTTTGAAATATTTCATTAGGCCCATGTGAGGATACTGGCAGAAAAACCAAACCAAATTCACTGCTGTGGAGTTGGCTCTGACTCATAGCAACCCCTCCTTGGGTTTCTGAGGTGATATCACTATGGAAGTAGATTGCCCAACTTTCCTTCTGAGGAGTGGCTGGTGGGTTTGAACCACCAGCCTTCTGGTTAGCAGTCAAATGCCTTAGGCACTACACCAGAAGGTTCTAATTCATCTAGTACTATAATAACTAGTAGTCTACTACTAGTGCCTGGTTGTAGCACTACATTAAGATGCTTCTGAGGGTCATTCAGGATCAGTGGAGTGGAAAAGAATACCATAATTGATTAACAACATCTGCTGTGGGCCAGTGTTTACGGAGAAGGGAATAGTAAGAGGAGAAGAAAAATCTGCTTTCAAATATTTCCTGCTCTGACCTAACATGGAAAGTATGTTATTCCAGCAATTAAATGTCTTTTTCTTTTTCATGGTTAATAACATAGAGTTAGTGACACACCTCAAACCTAGGATTCGGTTAAAATATTTCCTCTTATTATTGGAATCAACTGTGAATGGGTAAAGGGTTTCCTTATTTTCTTTGATGTGTATTTGTTAAGGCAAGAGAAAACACTCTCCTTTCCTCTCCACAGAGGATTTTCATTTTCCAGCTTCAGAGAATTTACCATTTGGTGATTCAGTGGTAGTTTCCTCAGTGGTGTACATGTCCCTTTGGAAGTCAGCAGGAGTGGTCACTCCAAACATATCATTTGTGCCACTGGAAGTTGGGAGGTGACCTTCTGGGGTTTGCTGGATGGCATGATTTATTCCTGCTTGTTCTGCGGGAAGGATTCCGTCCTGGATCTCTGGAGTAGCCCTTGCCTGATTGGTAGGCAGGGTGGCTCCTGGAACAAGGGCTGGATGAGGAGGCCTGTGAAGATTTGTGGGGCCACTGGCTATAATGAAAGAGTGAAACAGAAAACAAAGTCAAAAGGAACACCTCCAGGGCTGAACAACCTACCTTTTCTCTTTTGAAGGCAACAAGTTTGTATAGAAAGAGTAGGACAAGGAGGATAAAGTCAGAGGGAACACCAGTGGTTTAGCATTTCTCAGAGGAAATGCCTCTCTCTTCTGAGCCAAGCCTGAGGCTGGTTTCATTATTAAGATTCCTTGCTATGCTGCATTTTCTTCAGAACAGGGAAGCAAGAATCAAGCCAGTTTCAGGAAAAGGAATAATGTAATTTGCTATTATCAAGTATCTCTGTAGGTAGAACTGAGGCAAAAATTCCATACAATTATTATGGGGAGCTCTGCTATTTACCTAAGTCATAGCTTATCTTTTGCCCATAAAAATTAGTTTTAAAAAAATAATAAAGGGGATTAAAAATTAATGAAAAAACTAATTCAAGTAGATTAATCAGTCCTCTTCCTCAAAGCTTGTACTCCTTCAACTTATTTTATTTTGGGATGTATTTTTAAAAAGCTTTGAAATACTGAGTTAGAAATATATTTCTCTTGGCATTTTGGTCACTTGTGTGTTCCTTGAGGTTATTTAAAGAATTCTTCTCTACTGAACTATCAATAATTTGCACACTGGTAATGAATACTATTACACTTCTTTTTTTCTTCCTGGAAAAAAAAAATGCTGTGAAACTTTCTCTTAAGGTGAAATTGATTTTGTTGGCTGTGGAGAGAGTACAGGCAGGAATTAGTTTTACGGTATTAGCACTAAAGATTGTGTTCTCATACAGTAAAACATGTTGAGGGCTCATAATTAAGATACAGAGTCATTTCCTTGAAATTGGTTCTTAAATTTTAGTTTGCATAAGAACCATGTGAGGAATTTGTTAAAAGGCAGATTATCAGGTTCCATTGCTAGAGATTCTGAAATGAACAAGTCTGGGGCAGGATCCAGTGATCAGCATTTCTAACTAGTACCCCAAGGGTTGCTGATTTGGTGGTCCAGAAGTTTGGGAAGCATAGTCTTAGCTTTAAGAGGTACTGAAAGCAGAATTAGACTTGTGCTGGATGACAGACAGGTATAGAATGCAGAATTTTTCAAATTAGTAGTGTGACTACTACAGTGTTGAAATAAAAAAAGGTAGGTGATGACTATCATTAAAAAATAAAGAGAATATATCATAAATTACTAGAGGGCATTTCATATAATAAAGATATTCTTAAACTTGTGTGTTTGTATGGGTTGATTTGCATGAAAATGTAATTGGTACTGTGGGTTATACTAAAAAAAAAAGTTTGTATATCACTGATATAGTGGATAGAAAACTGGTTTTAGATCTAAACCCAATCTTTTGTTGTTTTAGGACTTAAATTGCTTAAGCTTTCTCTTTATCTATAAAGGTGAGTTAAATCACCAGCCTTCTGATTAGCAGTCAAATGCCTTAGGCACCACGCCACCAGAGCTCCTACTGTATAGTTTGGTGAGGGTTAAAGGATATGTATGTAAAAGATCTGTTGAGGTGCTTATTATACAAAAGAGGCTTAGTAAATGGTAAATGTGGGTGTTCATATACCAATGTTAACAAAATAGACACTAACTTCATTATTTATTTATTTATTATTTAAGGACAATATGTCAAATCTCTTTTTTATGAAAAGAGATTTTACATAATAGAAGTCATGTTATTTATACCACCTCAATATATCAAAAAGAGATAACGAATGTTATCAAATGTTAACAAATGTTAACAAAAATCTGTGTTCGTAGACATTTCCTCAATTCCTTAGTTCTGTTGTCATGTTTAGAAATCATGTTAGTTCTAGTCATTTCCCCTAAAAATGGGGGAATGCATAGAAGTGCCTAGGAATGGTAAGATAGGCTTCATTTAGCCTTAGCCTTTTAGTTATTTATGTGTTTAGGGAAGAGTTGATTAACCACTATCAGATGCTAGACAAAGAATATACTTTCTCATCCTAATGAAATATCCAACTCAAGAGAATGACCTTTGTAAGAAGTATCAATATTTATATTATTCTATATCTGTATGCATTTCAGGAGGACCTCTAGTGGCATAGAGTCTAAGGTATTTGACTACTAACCAGCAGGCTGGAGGTTCAAACCCACCAGCCACTCCTCAGAAGGAAGATCGGGCAATCTATCTCTGTAGAGATACTGCCTTGGAAATCCAAGGAGGGCTTGCTATGAGCTGAATCGACTGGAAGGCAATGAGTTTGGTTTTTGGTTTGGTATGCATTTCAATAGTTTTAAATTCTGAATTCTAATCAATATAAAGTTTAAAATTATATGCGCTGGCTTTCCGTATAGAATTGAATTTAACAACAATATAGGGGAAAAAAGTTAGGTCAAAATAAAGGAAAAGTAGCTGGAGAAGAATGATGAAATGCCTGCTAGAGAAAGGATAATCTAATTAGGACCCATTAAAAATAGTCGGTCTCTTGTAATGTGCACCAGACCCAGGCTTGTGGGCAAGAGAAGGTATGTGAGGACAGAAAACAGAATGGTGGTAGGAAATAAAAATAATGTGAAATTTTAGTAACTTTTTTTTTTTTTTTTTACCAATTCCTCTGAGTTTATAATAGTACCCTAGAAGCAAATGATAAATACAAGTTATTAGAGACACTTTAATATATTATAGGCAACACGTAGCACACAACTCAAACATTTAAATACTTCATGGTTTTTAAAAAAAGATTTTATGTTTTCCACAGTGTCTTAAACTTCCTTTGTTATTTATATCATAAAATCCAAGGCACCATATAATATTGTAGGGCTAATATGTATTATTTAAGTCATGTGAGATCATATATCTTTAAAAAATATATTTTATGATTATTATGTAATCTATGCATATTGGGTGGAGCTCTGGTAGCGTAGTACCTGAGGCATTTGATTGCTAACCAGAAGGCTGGCAGGTCAAACCCACCAGCCACCCCTCAGACGGAAGGTTGGGCAATCTACTTCCGTAGTGACACTGCCTTGGAAACCCAAGGAGCGGTCGCTATGAGTCAGGTCTGACTCCACGGCACATAACAACAACAACAACATGCATATTAGAGGAAATTTGAAGAATATGGAAAGCAATGGAAAGAAAAAATAAAAGCCACAATCCCAGCATGCTATTTGATGTATTTTCTTTCAGACATTTACCACATATTTCTTTTTTACATAACAGAAAGCATGTTATTTATACCATTTTGTGTCTCATCTTTTAAGATTATGCAACCATCATTTCATCATGTTATTGACACATTTTAGTGCATATAATTTTGAATGGCCACATGATACTTGCTCGTATATTGCAGTTTACTTAAATTTTTTCCTTTTGCTGTAAATGTAAGTAGCACTCAAATATTTTCCTCTGTTATAGACATTATTTTAATGATGTATTTGGGCATAACTCTTTGCTATATTTCAGATTATTTTCTTGAGATATGTTCTTAGATGTGGAATTAGAAGTTGATATAAAATCTTAAACTCAATTCTGTTTTCAGAAGTAAAAGCTGTCATCTGATATTGATATTTGATTTGGACCTTGGTAATTTTATCAATGATCTCAAGAATTACTTTTCTTAAAGATAAATAGGAGAGGAGAGAAAGTTTTGTGTAACGTTTCTTGGGAAAACATATGTAGTTAAAAATATGGTTGAGATTAAAAAATAAATCATAGGAATCATTATATCAATTCCATTAACTTTTTAATTAACAGCTTGGTTTAAATATTTGACTAGTTGCTTCTTCTATGACATATACCAACTATTTGTAAATATTTCCAGTTAACCAAAACCAAGCCAAACTCACTGCCTTTGAGTCAAACCCTTCCTTGAGTTTCCGAGGCAATATCTCTATGGAGGTAGATTGCCCAGTCTTCCTTCCAAGGAGTGGTTGGTGGGTTTGAACTGCCAGTCTTCTGGTTAGTAGTCAAATGCCTTAAGCACTACACCATCAGAGCTCCTTATTTCCAGTTACCCATCTTCAAATTGAAAATCAAAATATTTTCTACAAAAATTGTGAAGATTAAATGAGAATATGGTAAATACTTAGAAACGAATTTGGCACATTGTAAGTTCTCAGTAAATGTTAGCTGTTATTGCTACAGTGTTCATGGCATGCAAATTAAATTGGAACCTTTGCAAATATCTGGCAAATTGAGGCAGATAAATTATTTCTCACTAAGATGACATAAAATTAATACCATATTATAAAACAATCTTACCTGGTCTCCAAGCTGTGCTACAATAATTGGTAACATCTGAGAAAAATAAATATTTAGTAAAAAATACATTCAAAGATAAGTTCTGGCATATAAAATATATTCAGAGATATATATATTGAGACTTGCAAAAGGTAAAATATCTATTGCTCTCTATTATCTTTAATTAGATACAGATTTATAGAGTTGGACAGGAATTAGAACTCATCCAATATTTAAAATGAAGAAGGTTAGATGCAGAGAGATTTAGAAACTTGTCCAAGCCTGCATACTTAGAAGTGTGAGTTAGTTACTTGAATGACCAAAAAATTTTGGTCCCAAATTATCTCCAAACCAAAAATAATTCCAAGTAGTGATGATGATAAAATTCACTTTTAAAAATGTGGCCTCTCAGAAGAGACATTAAATGTTTAGTGGATATTTAAAAATATAATGGTTTCTTCAAACATATATATTTAATCTCACAATAATTGCTTGGGTATTTAGCTGTTAAAATAGGGCACTGGTAGTAGTAAGTCATGGGTGATACTGCTCACTAATCCCTGGTATTAACAGAGTTCTTAGAACTAGATTAGAAATACCTTACTCATCAAATCCCTAAATGTGATGAATTTATAGTTGAAAAATATTGGGTGGTGTGTTGTGCTCTCACACTCTCTCATACTTCAACAGCTAGCCTAGAGTTTGCCGAAGAACGTTAGGATTTTAAAGATTTGTTCTTGTTTCTATAGCAAATTCATAGTATCAGGAAAGTTATCGCAATAGATTTTTAAATACTAAATGTAAAAGCTGTGAAAGTTTTGTGAAATCCAAGACTTTTACCCTTTTTATTTCCCAAGACAGACTGTATAGCAATATCCATAAAGCCAATAGGTAGAAAGTACATGCATTTGAGAAAAATCTTTGGTTACTAACAAAAAACAACTTCCAGGTTGACAATGGGAAAGCAAGTTCAGGGAACAGGACATGAGATATTTGGGAGAAAATACAATTGAAATTTCTTCTTTAAAGGTGGGTTGGGTGAACAGGACAAAAAGATACAAGGAGGAAACCACAGGTGTCTAAGTAAAAGTGTGATGAAAGATAATTGCTCATCGATATAATAGGAAGGATGAAAATTTTCTTTATTTGTTGCTAGAAAAAGATTTGAAATAATAATAGTTATGAGTGTTTACTTTGTAGTGGGCCCTATTAAAAATATTTTATGGATATTTACTGATTAAATCTTTACAATAGCTCTAGAGGTAGGTTCTACTTCAATTCCCATTTTAATGATGAGGAAAGTGAGGCACAGAGTAGTTAAATAACTTGGCCAATATCACATAGTAAGTGGAAAGCTGGGATTCTGACAAGAGATTGCAAGGTTCTGGAGTTCACTCTTAATCATGTTGGCATTGCTTTGATAAATGAGACCTGTGAACAGATGGCCAGATTCTGGCAGAGAATTAAGTTCCTAGGGAGAGGAAGGATGAGAGGACTGGGGTGGGGGGACCACAAGAGAAGGTCAAGTTGTGGGAACCCTTGGTGGTGGCATAGCCCAGAGATGGACTATGGAAATTGATATATGTTGTTGTGCTTTGGGAAGTGTTCAATGTTAAACCTCTACCAAACCTTCAGTAACATATGCGGCACTGACTAATGGCTCTGGCTTTAGTGGATACCCTCCAGAGAAGATGAAGGTGTATTGAATGTGCTTTAAGGTTAGAGCAGAGAAACAACTGAGACCGAAGCTGAGCAGTCAGCATGATTTACACCAGATCATGAAGTAAAGAGATCCTAATTTTATTTGCATGTTTTTAAGTCCTTTTCAGAGGGTAACTTTTATTATCAAGATATAAATAAGCAGGAAATACTTTAAGTATAATTGTGGAGACAGAAAGAATAGCATGGTAAAGAACTTTTTATCCTTGTGATTTTAAAAGAAACAACTGTACACAAATGCTGAAGGATGTGGAAGGGAAACAACTTTATTTAAATTCTTATGGGTTTTCATAGACAAATTCATTCTTTTGTTTGGTCAGTCCATTCATCCAGACCATTATTCAACATATACTTTGGAGCAGTGAATTACTTGGTGTGGCTCTTCTAGGCATGGTCTTTGTGACTCTTACCAGATTACTGAGAGGAACTATGCAAACGTGAGGTGTTTGTGTCCTACCAAGGGGACTGGATAGCTTGTTAGTAATGTAAATAAAGTACACAGAACCCCTGTGGAATGGGACCATGGATATAAGCTATATAGAACTATAGTGTTGGGATTGGTCAGTTTTGTCATTCATTAGGCTTAAAATGAGCCTTCCCAGAGGTGGAAAGGTGGGGGGGATCTCACTACCATCAAGACAGCAGCCAGGAGTAGAGTTCATCCTGAGATCCCTGTGCTGAGATAGCAGAGAGATAGTGGCTGAACAGAAGTAGAACTGAGAGACCAGCAAGAGACAGAGTGGCGAGCTTGCTGGCCCAGGGAAGGAGAAAGCAGAATGTCTTTGGGCAGAAAGCTTGCTGGTGGAAGAAGAGCTAAAAGAGCTTTGTAACACTTGCCATACCATGGCTGAGGCCAGGCCTGACCCTTCCTGTACCTGAACTATAACCTATTACTTTCCTAATAAACCCTATAATCATGAAAATTGTCTGTGAGTTCTGTGTGTCCATTGCAAGGAGTTGTCTACCCCAGCAAAGTAGTGAGTGCTGTTGGAGGAAATGGTTGGTGTCAGAATTGTCAAAAAAGTTGGAGGGTGACAGCACTTTTGCCTCATAGGATTCAGCTATGGGTTGTTGCCGTTGATCTTTTTTTCTTCTTATAAAGTTAGAGGAGGTAAAAGGAGGCTGCCTTCATGCCCTTTCTGCACATACATTCTACATTTTCCTGGAAGTATTTCAGTACCTGGTGGTCAGAAGAAAGATTGGGCAGTCTCCTTCCATAGTGATACTGCCTTGGAAACCAAAGGAGGGGTCGCTGTGAGTCAGATTCGACTGGATCGCAGTTATTATTATTTTTTTTTTGGTGATCAGACAGTGAATTGAAGGGACAAAAATCCAAATCCTCATGGGGCTTACATTTTGGTGAGGGTGGAGGGAGAAAATAAATACTCCAGAAGCATTGCTATGGGGGAGGAAGCCAATGAACCTGGGGTGCCCCTGGCATTATTTTTCAGTGGCTATGCGGGGGGAGAGGATTCCTGCGGAGACAGAGTTGAGTTTTATGCCAGTCTTGTTCCTGGCCTTAGTTGAGGAGACTTGTGTTCTGTTACCAGCCTATGTGAGATCTCCTGATCTCATGGATCTCCTGAAAACCCGACTATAAAGAATCTCTGGTTTAGAGGAAATTGATGGAATCTGGTAGGGATTTGTGTGATTCTTGAATTTTCTAGAATTTCTCAAGTCAGGAAATTTACCCTCTTCCTATTCCATCACATCCAATGAATATGGAAAATCTGGAATTACCCAGACTCCCAGGATCTACTTGTTTGTGAGTTCTAGTCTAAGAGGATCTTTTTGGCAATGAAGGGATAAGGACGACTGGAAATTTCTTTCTTTTCACCAGTTGATAATTCAGTCCCAGTGTCAAGAGGATTTGAGGAACATGCTTGCTATGGTTACAGCTTGAATGATTAAATTAAATGAATTCATAATTGGAAATGATGGCCAGCATTTTCTGATGCATTATAATTCCAATGATATCTATTAAACATAAGCCTAAATTGTATTGTGCCAGGCATTGTACTAGATGCTAAAATACAACAGTGAACAAGATGAGGTCCCTGATGCATTCTTGTGGGAGATACAAGAAATATCTGATTATAATACAATGTGGTCCTACGAGAGATCAGAAAAGACACTTAGTGAATTTTCTTCTTGTTTCTCTGCCTTAGTTAATTACATCCCCTTTTGCTAGAGTCCTTACAGTTGTATCTGGCTATTAGCAGTCTAAAAGATCTAAACATCGCTCTTCTTCAAGTTACTAACTTCATTAAGTCTTTCTTCCCCTAATTTGGTGTCTTTTTCTTCCCAGAAACCCTATTGGAATTCATGACTCTTTCATTTATTTTACTCTACTCTGGCTGATGCTATTGTTATTTGTGTTCTATTTTGAGATATATTTTGAGGAAAACTCTGTGTCTTGCTCATTTTTATATTCTCTGTAGCACCCAGCATGGTACCTTGAATATAATAGATCTATAAATATGGGTTGAATTGCATTAGTACTTGCTTGACTTTCTAAATTCATAACATTCTTTAAAATTGTTGATCAGCTTGCTTCAGTATCCTAATGTCCCTGCTCTTACTCCTGCCCCTTGGTTCCAGATACTATTATCTTTGTATGGACCACTGCAATAGCTTTTAAAATAATCCCCTACTTCCACTTTGATTCTCCTATAATTCATTCTGTGCCCACTCACCATATAAAATATGTCAATCCAGTAATATCCTGCCTTACTTAAAACAATTAATGACTTTTCATGAAATTTAAAGTACAAACTCATTACTATGACTTACAAATTTTTAAACAATTTTGTTTTGCTACACGTTCTTTTTTTTTTTTAAATTGTGATTTGGGTGAAGATTTACAGAGCAAATTCACTTTCCATACAGCAGTTCACATACACTTTGTCTCATGACATTGACCACAGTTTACCACA